TTGCATAATAGATAATAACATATTAGCCTACTGTGATATCGTCAAAGTCCAGGAAAAAATAACCATGTTTTCCTTGGTGCACACAAGTCAGAATTAGGAGGGTCTCCTTGAGAAAGTCCTTTCCAAATTGGGGCTGCCAGCAGAAAACCTTCCCCCCCCCCCCCACGAATCGATAGACCCCTTAAAGTTTATCCCCTACAAGTTTATCTCTGCTCTTTGCAAACCTTTGCTTATTTTGTTTGAAGTCTAGTATTTCTGGATGGCAAAATCTTAACCGAGCCAATTCCCAGTTAATTTTTCAAGAGCCGATTCTCCATGGGTGTCTTTCTTTGGTTTTGTTAATTTAAAAGCTCTGTATTGATTTGCTCTCTCAAGCTAAAGCTCCAGGCTGTGCAATTTCTAACAACAATCTCCTTTAATTGGCCAAAATCCTCATTGAGCCAAGAGAAGAGGAGGAGGAAGAGGAGGAGGCGGCACCACTGCGGAGGGAACCATGGATTCTTTGGAACCTCTCTTGGTCTTGTCTTGATAGTGGTTGCTCTTCTCCTTCCTCATCCTCTCCCAGAGGACCCTGTGAGGAAATGACGGCTGGAACTACCCCAGTGGTTGCCAAGACACCAAAGTGAATTGTCCATCCTTGTTCAATCCTGGACTCTTTGAGGCTTTGAGACCAGAGCAGAAGAGAAGTTCCTTCAGCTGGGTTGGACACAACCCAGGGCAGAAGAGAAGTGCTGGTTTATACCAGATATTCCTGGTAATTAAATGGTCACATCTCCTGGTTTGGCCCAGGATGATGACCTCCCACAGACCCAAGAAGCTGGTCTTGCAAAACCAGGTAAGACTAACCAAGTCAACAGCAAACCAGTTTCATTGTCTATCTGCAATCACTGACCTGGTTGAAGGCGTCGTCTGAACCCATCCAAAGATCCTGGGTCGCCTTCTCTGTTTTCCAGGCACGGCCACCTCATTGTCGCTGCAACAATGGATGCCGTGGAGAATTAAACAGAAAGAAAGACTGCCTGTGTGGCGAGACGTTGACTTCATAAGAAAACCACACACCCTTTTCCTTAATAACGTTGGATGCCAGCCAAGAATGCCACATCCTTATTTGCAAGCAAATTGCTTACAACTGGATTTTAATTTAGTGCTCTGCACCACTGCAAATGCCTTTTGTCGCATCTCATAAACTCTCGCAAAGTCCAAGCAGCAAGAATACAAAGAAAGCCACACGAAGTTCCTTTCCTGAATTTACTAGCTGGATTTCATATGATTCATATGATTATCATTATTTGGAGCAGGCAAAAAGAGAGGGAGGAAAGAAAGTTAAGCCGACGGAAAGGGGCAGAGAGAGAGAGAGCGACGGGACTTCCGGTGAGGAAGCAGGAGGGCTGGTCGACCCAGGACTGCAGCACAAGAGCCACGTCCATGTGGGGAAGGACCATCGCTTGGTCCTGGGAGCAGGCAGCCAGGGGGAGGCCTCCTCGCAGGGGTCCTTGGTGCCCTCGGAGCTGGGTTGTCTTCTTGCAGGTGTTTCATCACCCAACGCAGGTAGCCCCTTCCCTACATTTCAGCCCTGAGCACAAATTATGGAGCCCCCCTTTCTTAGCCAGAGGCCTTCCTGGCCCCTCAGGCCCTGTGCAGTGAACGCCAGCATGTCCTAACACCTCGAATAGCACTTGGAGGGGGACCTGCAGGTGCAAAGGCCGAAGATCCCGCAAGGGCTGCACTTGGCTGGTAGGCCTCCCAGGGTCAACCTGGAGAAATGGTCTGAAATGGCCTAGGAGCATAAATGTCTCCTGCTTGTGCTGGGAGTTGGACTAGCGGACCTCCAAGGTCCCTTTCAGTTATTCTGTTGAGGTCCACCATCGCTGGTGTCCAAGAAAAGATGGGACAACCCTTTGACCAAGCTGCTATCAGAGCTCCTGCCGTTAGGGGGCAGCAGGTGGGGTGGACTAGAGGACCTCCAAGGTCCCTTTCAGCCCCATGATTCTATGAAACAGAGGTGATCTTCTTGCCATCCACCCAGCTACCAGCCTCTCCTGTCTGTTCAAGGCTCCATCCCTGAGCCAAGAGGAGATTCCCAAGAGGTGGGAACCGGGTGGGGCGTTCGACTGTTTCACCAGGTAGGCAGGTGAGCCTCAGGTGCATCCTTAGCGGCCTTTCTTCACCTTTGAGGCGGGCTTGTCAGGCACCCATGGTTCTTGTCTAGCTCGGCCGGCATCCCCCAACGCACCCGGGACACACCTGGGAGGAGGAGAAAGATGTTCTCCCCACCTGCAACGCAGGACGACTCAGAGCAGCCCAGGAGCTGCGACCTCGCTCCCAGTGAAGGAGAGAGGGGAGGGTTAGGGCGACGGCTCAGATCAAAGCGGGACCACAAAGTCCTTTTGGCTTTGCGCTGCCCTAATTCTGTTCCTTTTGGAGCAAAAGAAAGATGAGGTGAACCTGCTGGGAACAGCTGGGTAGAGACCAACTAAATGTGACACCTGTCAACAGCTGTCACTTTCCAGGGCTAACGAGTCTGTGACAGCTTTCTAGGGTATAGTAAGGAGGAAACGGATCAAACGAACCTCCCGAGAGAAATATTTAGCAGCTGTAAATACCCACAAGTGATGAATGCCACCGCAGTGCAGGCAGGCAGGCAGGCAGGCAAGTGTCTGGCTCAGATGTAACACACACACATTCACACCCAAGGAGTGGCAGAGAGGGGCCATTTCCCCAAGGAGCTTCTCATTTGGAGGAGGAGCAGCAGTTGTGTACGCACCTTGGATAATTCCTCCCTCCCTCCCTCCCTCAAATGGGTTACGGAACAAGCAGTGTCAAGAAACCTCCCTAGCAGACCTGACCTGCCTCAGAGCCCTTGATGTCATAATCCGTTTCACGGGCTGCTCCTCTTTCAGGTGGCTGCTTTCTGTGCCTTTTGTGGGCACAGAGGGAAGGGCATTCCCTGACTCCATGCCAGAGCTTCACCCATGTTTCCCTCTCCCATCCTTGCTAGAGCCACCTGCATTTCCTGCGACAGGTTTGGGGCCGATCAATGGGGGCTGGGGCTCGGGATGGACCAGGAGGATCCGGACGTCCTCAGAAGGGAAGCGGCTCTGCAAGGCGCCATTGAGATGCTGAAGAAGCAAAACCAGAAGAGCAAAGAGAAGCTGCGGGTCTTCTGGCAGAAGCTCCGGGAGATTTCCAAGAACACCAGCGGGAGAAACAGAGCCATCTGGGAGCAAAACCTAGAGCTTTGGACGAAGACCATGGGCCTCTTTGGGGCCATCCAGAAGGTCTTCCAGGAGGAGCAGGATCTTTGGCAGGAGGAAGTAGACGAGTGGAGAGAAGCGGCCATCCTTTGGAAAGAAGAGCTGGATCACTGGGACACCTTCTCAGGAACCTTTTAGATCTTTTTTCGGGGGGCAGAACAATCGCAAGACGAGGATGGAATCCCAACCCTTGGCCACCATGTTTGAGTTGACTTGAACTTAAGGATCTCTCGGAGATCCTTGTGCTTGTAATGCACACTTGTTATTTCTCTCCACTTCGCTCTCTTGGTATTCATTTAAGTGTCTATTAGGATTGTTTCCTGATAATCGTGATGTTCCTTTTCCCCCTCGGAGTATCCAAACACACCTCCTCTCTTGATTAATGAGCTTGTTGAAGTCTGGCTTGTTGGCGCCCAGGGGAAACCGGCAGCCGGTCTCCTGTCAGGGCCTGTCCGAGAACTGCAGATGTTCTAGGTTTGTTTCCTTAAGATTCCCTGGCTGCCATAGCAGCAGAGCTGTGAACAAAGGGAACATCAACAGAAGAGGAGGAAGTGTGGCAGGTCAGTGGCCGTTCCTCTTGCTTGCACTCCTTTGAATCCGTTCCTGGATTCAAAGCTATCTTTTAAACCCTGAAGAAGAGCCTTATGTGGTCCAGAAGCTGGCTTCTCCCAGAGGCCAACCAAATCCTTCCTTAGGAGCCCTCGGGCAGGACACAGACTCGCCACTCCCCCCCCTCCTCCCTTGAAGCCCATAGCTTCAGATCTGCCTCCCCTCAAGCCATTAAGAGTCGCCTGTTCCCAACATTTCCCAGTTCGTACGTGCTGTACAAATGACTGTGTTTGGTTGGCCTCTTCTGGAAGAATTCCTAGCAGCAGGCGGGGAGGGACATATTTTCCCCAAAGATCGAGCTAAATCTTTGGCTTTCAGATCAAAAGACTGTCTTCATCAGCATTTCCGGAGACCCTTCACAGCAGGCACCTGCGTGAAGACAAAGCACGTTTATTTTTTCTGTGCTACGGATCGCTAAGATTCCCTCTCGCTCCTACTCAAGGTTTGGGGGTACAGTATTTGTCTGTCGACCCCTCTCCTGCGTAAGCATGACTAGAACACAGGGACCTGGCTGTCCTCCCAGTCTTGGGGGCAGCGAGATAGATGGCTGAGCCCCCTTTAATGAGGGGTTTGGGTTTATATGTTTGCTTTGGGTTGCTTATAATTTCATAGTTGTATATACATATTTTTGGTCTTGCTTTTAACTGTAAGCCATCTGGAGGCACTTGGAGTTAGACAGCTTGTAAACAGCATAAACGTAAACCATGTGAAGATAGAAGGTCCAATGATGCCAGCAAACTATGGATAACAAAGTGTCTGGGGATAGAATCGGGGTTAGGATCCCAATTGTGAGCGAGACCAAAACTAAGATCACATAAAGGGAAAGAAGATCTTTTGCTTCGTCTCTGTGGTGGCAGCCAAAATTGAGTCAATTTCCATGAGGGTCGGGGTCTCTAAAAAAGCCGGAGGTGGGTGGGTGAGGAGCATAGCCGGCCATCCATATTTTCTCTCACAAGACTCCAAATAGAGGCAAAAAGCCTCCTTTCTAGTTTCTTCACCTCACCTGCAGTCCTAGAGAAGGTGGGCGAGTCCTCTCTCTGAAAGTTCTCCAAATTTCACAAAGGCCCCACCTACTGACAGGAAGCCTGAAATCTCCCTTTGACTCCTTTTTCTTTCCCCGCTTCTAGCTTTGGCCCAATGGATAACAGGAAGAAGAAGCTGGACTTGTCTCCGAGTCATGCAGAGTCCTGTGACGGCAGCCCCACTGCCCCCTCCCCCTCCTCTGGCCACAAGGAGAGCTGGCACCATGCGGCCCCCTTCCCGGCCCTGCAGAAGGAGGTGGTCCAACGCAACCTGAAGGAGGAGAAAAAGGGCCTTCAAGAGGACATCAGGGAGCTCTGGGAGAGGTGCCGGGAACTGAGAGGGGAGATCAGGAGCTTCCAAGAAGACAACAAGATCAAAGCTTTATGGGGAGACATCCATGTTTTCAAGCACAAGAACAAGTCTTTCTTGGATCAGATCAAAGACTTCTTGGAAGAGAACTGGGTTTTCATGGAAGAGGTGAAGCTGTTTCAAACCCAAAAGTCAGACATACGAGAGAAGGTGAGGGTCTTTCAGGAGAAGGTAGAAATTTTCCAGGAGAAGATCAAAGGAGCAGAGGAGGAGATTTCCTCCTTGGAAGAAAGGAACGAATCCTTCCGTAATGTCATCAAGGCTTTTCAGTTGAAGAACAAGGAGATCCAGGAAGCAAACAAGGGGATGCGTGAGAAGAACAAAGCCCTGCAGGAAAAGATGGAAACGGTGGAAGAGAAGAACAAGGCCTTTTGGAAGGAATGCAAAGCCTTTTGGAAGAAGGACAAGAACTTTTGGGAAGAAGACATGGCCATCTCCAGGGACAAAATGAGCCTTTGGAATGAATACATCGCTCTCCGGGACAACGACCAGGCTCTCCAAGAAGAAAAAAGCCGAATGTGGGACATGGTGGAAGCTCTCTGGGATGCCAAGTATTCCATCTGGAAGCAACTCAACGGTTTCCCGGAAGAAGCGCCACACGACTTAGGAATTGGCGTGGTGGGGAACGGGGCCGATGGTGACCATGACAGTGTCCCTGAAGAAGACAAGCAAGGGTGACAAGATTCCACTGGTCAGGATGACACAAGTGAGGACATCTCCTAGACATTGAACTCTGGCCTGCACAAAAGGGCTCCTTTGACATCAACAGCTGAATAAAACCTTGATGGAACTCCATGTAGTTGCTTCTGTGCTTTGGGTGGAAATCTCTTAGAGAGAGAGAGAGATCCCTGGCAGCCATGCAGGTGCCCTCACTTAATGCATCTAGTTCTCTAAACTCCAAAACAGACCGACTAGTCTACAGGTCTAATTTCAAAAAATGCTAGCTGATGGATCATTCTATCTTCCTGTTCTTTGTTTAAAAAAAAACAAAACCTCCCCTCCTGATATTGTTCTACTTGGTGAGAAAAAATGGCAGAGAAGGCAGGAGCCTGCCTCTCACTTAGTCACACGTTGAAGATTTGTGTTTCCGTGAACAGGGTTTCCCCTAAAGTGGCTTACAATGCATGTACACCAAATTTGAATAAAGCACAATTATTTATTCATTTAAAATATTCGTTTCCCACTTTGCTGCTTAAAAAGCAGTCAGAGCAGCTTGGAAAAATAAAAATAAAAATAAGAGGCTCCCAATGCTAATACAATGACCTGGAAGAACCACTGAAAGTTTGCTCAGCGGAGTCAAAGAGATACCAAAAGGAGGTGCAGTCAGGAAGGACGCAGCCTGCCTCCACGTGGATACCCGGGCTCCCTTCTCAGGTGCAAGTGGAGATCTGGGCAGCAGAAACTTGGGCTCGAAGCAACCTTAGCATTGAAACTGTCTTTCCTCATCCTTTAAAAGCTCTCCATATTCAGGGTGGGGAAGGGGAAGAGAAACTGGGTGAACACCTTTCCCAGGAGGAGAACTCCTACGGCCCTTTTCCAAAGGAAGGCTTTTCCTTTTAGTGGGGACAGGTGCGCCACTCCTGAAAAAGGCCCCTGGTGGGATCCTTCCTTCCTTGCACCTAAGCAAAGGGAAGTATTGTTTTTTGCGAATCGGAGGACGGAACATGCTTCTGGGGAAAGGAGGAGAGAACGGAGAGAAGACCTTGGGACATCCGACATGCTGGCGAGCTTATTGAAGCATTCCCCAAGCGATTCCATCCATGGACACCTAGACCTAAACCATCCTACGAGTCCCTCAGAATTCAACAGACAACCAGCGATAGCCCTGACCTCAACCAACCCACACAACCCCTCCCCCCCAGCACTTCACTTCCCAGTGACCCTCACCTGACCTGACCTTGCCCCGCATCACAAGTCCCACTGACCACACAAAGCCCTTATAAGCAGGAGGACGTGACGTTCCCTAAATTCTGCTGAAGGCGTTGCTTAGCCTGGTAACGAAACGTTCGGAAGCCAACCACAAGCTCGGAGGACGAACCTCCATCCTCAAGACCTCCAAACCCCTCCTTCTGTCCCCAGGCCGTGACTGAATGTGGAGGGACACCAAATCTCCCTGGAAGGAGAGGTGGCATTTCAGAGGTTACTTGTCAAGCACGTCAATTTGTCAGTCAGCTTCCCAGGAAGCCTCTCCCTACTCAGGTGGACACGAAGCTACAAGTAATTACATTAGTTTTCCTGCTGTTGCAGGGTGTCGGAGCAAAATCCTCAGGCCCCATGCTGGCTTGTAGCCAGGAACGTTGCAGGAAGAATCCATTCTCCAAGGGCTTAATTTGACTCGGGTTATTTTAACAAACTGCCGCCATTCTGCCGTGTGACTTCAATTCATTTTAATAGCAGAAGTGTTGCATCCCAAATAGCAGAACGCAGGGAGGGGGGAGCAGGTTTAGGTCTTAATAAGACATTTCTCCCTCCCTCCCCCTCCCCTACTTGGACGGAGAGATTTACCCCCATTGATTGTGAGACATTAGCCTCGGTGAACTTTCTTAGGACGGCTTACACAATGATTTTAAAAGTAGGACATCATAAAACACAACAAAAGCCAATAACTATTTTCAAAAATACATTAAAATCAATAGCAGAGAAACCAAAATGAGAGAGAGAGAGAGAGAGAAAGAAAGAGAGAGAGAGAAAGAAAATGAGAGAGAGAGACAGAGAGAGAGACAGAGAGAGAGACACAGAGAGAGACACAGAGAGAGAGAGACAGAGAGAAAGAGAGAGAGAGAAAGAGAGAGAGAGAGAGAGGAGAGTGAGAGAAAGAGAGAGACAGAAAGAGAGAGGAGAGTGAGAGAAAGAGAGAGAAAGAGAGAGAGAGAGACAGAGACACATAGAGAGAGAGACAGAGAGAGATATATCCAATAGCCTTTTTCTAATAGCAGAAGAATATGAAGATGGGACATCCCTCAAGAAGTCTACCCAGAGGAATGTCATGTCAGAAGACGGCTGATTCTTGAGGGTTGTCATCTCCAGTAGCCAGAAAGTTTCCAGGAACTTTCAACCTTAACAGGTGCTGCCAATGGTCAACCACGGAGCCATTCAGCTGTAACCCACCAGCAACATTTCCTGTAAACATTTTATTCTGGTGCTATCTCTTCCTAGAATTCGGAAGATGATTCCTCTAGAAGTTACCTCTTCAAAGCCTCCGTGGGTGTATCTGCTTTCTGCCCATCTGACCAGAGCAGGGGCATCAACAGGCAGCCCCCTAAGTCACCCAGGAACTTCGAGCGCATAGGATGGCCCTTGGGCGCTACCTTCAGCCCTTGGAACGAGCACAGAAGGACCAAGAGCTGGTTCACAACCTTCTACCTTTGCAAGGAAACGATTTAGAACTTTAAGCTGTTAGTCCCTAAGATGAGCTCCATTCTTTGGACCACAAGAGGCCACTTGAGCTTGGTGCAGCATTTCTCATAGCCACCAAAAAGGGAAGCATCACAACGCTGTTGTGTGAAATCCCTCCTTTTTTGACACAGTCCATAGGCTTGGGAGTGGCTGCAACCTACACCACTACCTGGCATGCCCTGCTCAAGGGTGGGGGTGGAGAAAGTCAAGACGAGAGCCCCCCCACTTTCTTACAAGGACCTGCCTCTTCTGACTGCACGTCCTTTTACTAATCCAGGGAAGAATGGATTTGTAGCACGTTGCTCTCTAGCGCAGCAGGCCTTAAGATCCCACAGATGCGAAAAACGTCTTCCAGAGTTATCGGCAGCAATGAAAAAAACTTTCATCAAAGATCCCCTCAGTTAGAGGAACACAAACACCAATTTATGTCAGTAAAAGAAAGAAAGAAAAGAAATTCTTCCAAAACCAGTTTAATTCTGGCTTCTAGTGGAAAAGGGATATCCCCCCCCCCCGCCCCCCAATGAGTCTGGAATATGCCTTTATAACATGTTAGAGTTATTTTACTGCAAACCATAAACGGATAGTTAGGAAGAAGCAGAAGCGACTCAAGACGCACTTTTCGACCATGGGAACCCTTGGCTTTTCTCTCCCTTTAGCAACCCCCGGCCAGCCCTCTTCCGAGGCCTCAGCATCGCCCGCGTGGAAACGCGCCCGGGTTGTTAGCTCCTTCCAGTGGCAGGAAATCCTTTCCCACCGAACCACCAGCAGGTCTGAGAACCCTTGCAAGGTGTGAATAGGGCGTGGTGCCACCCCTTTTACACACTTCCTTGGGAACCCAACCCACTGACACTCCTGTGCCCCCCCCAGCCTCTGGAGCCGCTGCAGGGGACCCACCCTGGCACGGAAGGCTGTGCTGCAGGCCGGGGGGTCTGGAGAGGGCCCTTGGCATTAACGAATGCAGGCGAGGGGGTTTTAATCTCGGAGCGTATGGATCACAGCCCAAAGTCAAGCCGACAATAATTCGATCTCAGCCCGCTTTCCCTCCCCTGCCACTCATTCCACCTGCAGCCGTGCCAAAGCCGCTGCCTGTTTCTGCAATAACTTCAGAATTAATAAAAGCGCAAGGAAGGCAAGGAAGCCTGGGGTTTTTTTTTCCCCCTGGGCAGGCATGGAGAGGAAGCGGGGAGGCTGCTTGTGCTGGGGTCTGCGCCTTCAAAGCGATCCCCAACATAATCTGATCAGCATTCAGATATACGGTGTATGCAAATCAGAGCTGCATTGCAGTCCACAGCAAAGGATCAGTAGCGCTGCAGCATGCGGGCTCAGGTGGGGCAATCTTTTCCTCCCTTTTTCGACAAGCGAGGCCTCCGGGCAGGGTTGGCTCGTTGGCAGGGCAGTTAATTTCATGGCTCAGCCGCACAGGCCTCGCTGGCCAATCTGGAAGTGTACAAATGCCCGGCCCGCCTCCGACCTAGTGATACAATGGGGTGTGTGGGGTGCGTGTGAAACAAAAGTGTCAGCAACCACATTTTATGTCTTGTGGTTTCTTACCAGAAGAGGGCGCTAGGGAGGGCTGGAGGGAAATATCTGCAGCTCTTGGGAGCCTCTAGTGGCAGAAGGAGGCATTACACAGAATGAGCTTCCTACCTCTGCCCAAGCCGGATGTGCTGGCTCTCTTCTACCCGGAGAAACAACCTACTGCGCTCCCCCTTCGTTACTCCAAGCCTGTGCATGGTGTAAGGTCTCACAAGGCAGTTCGTACGGTTCCCGCTCTCTGAACATGACATGGAAAATGGTCTAAAACATCAAAGGTTCCAGACTGAGTCCAAAATAATGTTACCCTAGAATTTACACAGGCTTTCTGAGTTCCAGTTTTGAGGTGGATGTCCCTTTTCAATCTGTCCGGAGCAGCTTCCTCCAAGCATTCACCCTTTGCTCTCCAAGTCTGCCATGCCTGGAAGACACGTCTCGTTTTGCTCTATGCAGCGACTCGGGCAAGAGAGGATGGCCCTCTTCCTTGCACAGAATGGAAAGCGCCGTCTGCGGCACCACCGTTCCTCCCAAGCCAGAGGTGCCCTGTGCCCAGCCTGGCCTCCCCCCTCGGTGTTACGGCTCTGCCAGAGGTGGGTTGGGACCCTCAAGAACGATAGAGCTTCAAAAGGGAGACCAGCGCAGCCCCCTTCAGAGTCCGGCCGGGTCCTTGGGAGTGGAATGGGACAACTCGCCACGGCCAACTTGTTGTGGGACAATGGAACGATACTATTTTGTTATCATTATTTAAA